CACGGGCCGCAGGGGGAGCGAGGGGGGGGGCGCGCGAGCGGCGCGCATGCGCCGCCCCGCCCCCCTCGGGCCACGCCAGCTGTGGCGTCAGCGCGTAGCGTGACCGCACAGTAGCAGTGACGGGGTCAGGAGGGAGGACCGGCGGGGAGGGCGAGATGCAAGGGCGTGTTGTGGGACGTATGCGCGCGTCACGGCCGTTCCAGTAGGCGAATGGCTTCAGTGGCTGGAGGCACGTGACCCCCCCAGTGTTGGGGTTCCGTATGTAAATGAGGGGGAATATTCAGTGTTAACGTCGTGCGCGATTTGCGTAGGTTCGGTCGGGGGGCGTGACCCCAAGATGTTGAGGATCCGTATGTAAATGAGGAGATGAATATTCAGTGTTGACGTCGGGCGCGATTTGCATAGGGGTGACCCCAAGGTGTTGGAGTGCTGAATGTAAATGAGTAGGGATGAATATACAGTGTGACGTCGTGCACGATTTGCATAGGCTTGACTGCCAGGTGCTGGGGTTCCGTATGTAAATGAGGTTGATGAATTTTCAACGTGACGTGTGCGATTTGCGTAGGCTTCTTCGGGCCCAGGGGGGACTTTTGTGGGTGGCGCCCCCCGCCTGCAAGGACGCAACGTCCGCCCGCGTTTGCACGTGACCTAGATTTGCATATATGCAAAGTAGCCGCGGAGCTAAACACAAAGGGGCCCTAAGCGGGTTTGCACCTGTGCATCCCTAATACCGCTTCAAACTGACACCGGGAGCTCAGCACAGCGCCCGGGCACGAGCTAGTGCATCCGTGGCTGGGGGGATGTTTCCAGCCAGCACAGAGTTTGTAACTGCAGCTTCACCCTAAACCTATCCCAATCCTGGAGCACGCATGCTAATCGCTTTTGCTGGTCATTTATGCCTGCTGTTATTTTAAATACTGGTCCTGGGTAGGGCCACGAATCGCATCGGACTGAAGGGGTTGGTGGCAATGTGGGGCAGGTGCACCTCAAACCCCCAGCCCGCACTGCCCCAGGGTGCTCCTTGGTTGGAGACAGTCTAAGGGACAGGCCTCACCCTGGGAAACTGCTGACTATAATGGGATATATATATATGTTTGTTTTAATTTTCCATATGCCAAGTGCAATTAGCCAAAAACAAATTCCAAATCCAAGAGTGAATCCAGAACCCTAAATGGCCCTACTACCAGCAGACATCCCACCCCCATCTGGGGCTTCAGGTGTTTCCAAAACCTTTGGCGGGCATCCTACTTGCAGGGCCAAACCAAGAGGCTTGGGGTTCAGATGCTCCCGCATTTTGCTTGCCCCCAGCCGTAAGGCCCCAGAGGCAAGCCAGGCAGGAGTCCCTCATTTCCATAAAGTGGGTCTAAAGCCAAAACCTTCCCACTCCAGCAGCTAAGTGGGAGGTTTACCATACGTTACCTTGGCAGGCACTATCCCCGTGGCAAGAGAGCAGTCTTCCCTGGTGCAGCTAGGAAGACCACATCCACAGTCACGGTGTTTCCCTCGCCAGGCAAGTATAACTACACTTGATCTGAGCCTTCCAGGGGCCGAGAAGCAATAACCTAATAACTGTGATGGCTCTAATGGAACATACGAGTGCTCGGGACCTAAATAAAATGAGGCCCAAAGTGACTCATGAAGAATGGACAAGATCCAGAAGATAAATGACCAACCAGATGGGGTCCAAGCTGAGTGAATTGGACCCTATCAGCTTGACTATTTAGAAAAGGCCCATATGAAGAAAACAATGAAGGTGCCTTCATGTGCCCTTTAAACAGTATGTCCTGAATATATCAAATATATATTTAAAAAATGATAAGTGACTTTCTGTCTTCTTGGTGTTGTTTATAAATATCATTTTAGCAAGGAAATAACTGAATAAGGATCCAGTTCCACAAAGTGATCTGTGTACCTAGCCCTCTGAAGTTGCTGGGCGTCCCAAAATCCAAGGTACAAATTCTATAAAAACCTTTTCAATATTCCTGTTAGCCACATGCAGATGTGTTCATAATCTGGCCTGAAATGATTATGTAGGAGAGGAACAGTAAAACATACTAAACACAAAGTACCAATCCAATACAATGTATGTAAATAGAAGACTCTAATGTACTTCAGTGGACATCTGATCTGTCTCTAACCCAGCAAATTAAAAATGGGGGAGAGGACATTTATTTACGAGCTCCTTGCCATTCTTATCTTATCCTTGCCATCATAATCTTACCAGTTGTAGTTTCAGACATTTTCAGAACATATTCCGATATCTCCAGACTGACATGGTGTCTTTTGGTATTTGTTTATCTAGCTATCATTAATATTTAACTATTTATTTACTGTAGGATCTCAGGTAATCCCATTTAACTCTTTAAAGTTTTCGTTTAAATGATCATTTTACAGTGGCAATCTCCTCTGAGTGCTTGTGCTTTCTTGTAATCCTAAACCATCCCCTTCTCTAGCCCACCCATGCACAGGCATGTTTTCAAACAAAACAGAACGCTGCAACTGCCATCATTTGGGGTTTTATTACTTGTTCCCTTTGAGAGAGAGAAACTTGAAACAACTTGTTTCAGACCATATCCAATCGCCAGCAGTGACAGCAGAAAGAAACCTAATAAGAAAATGGAAATGTAGCGGTACTCAGCGTAAACAAATGATGTGTTTTCTACATATGAAAGATATTAGTGGTACCAGTTCTAAAGATTATTGAGGAAGTTACCTGTTGCAATATTTATATGGTAAACATTACAACACAACCACAAGGGAAAGTTGGTACAAGTGAAAAGAAAAGCAAACTAACAGCAGCTCAAACAATACAGGCAGAGCAAGGAGGCTCCACAAATGCCAGATGTTATGTTTCGTTCTGAGATGCCGCATGTTTTTCTTTATGGTTTTGGGGTGGCTAAAACCATTGCTTGTAAGTGGCACATGAGAAAAGGTGACTAACCTGAAACACAGGACCTGACTTCATTGCCAAAAATGTGCTAATTAAAAAATAACCTTAGTTGAGTAAGGTGACATACAGAAAGAGATCCAATAATAACACAGCAGAAATAAACAAGCGTATCTGACCTTAAGGTTAAACAGGACATAGAAAGATACTTATACTACGCTATAAATAAACCAATTGTTTCATAAATAATGAAGTCCAAGATAAATCTAGTCATGCCCAACCTAGTTATCATGACATTTCCACCAGATTTATTTTCCCATGGGATACAGTTGGCTCTTAATGTTTTGTTTGTACGTGCCATTGTCACGCCATAATACGCCATAATATCATGTCTTTTGGATGAGTCATTAAATTGGCATCCTGTTTGCAGTCACTGTAAACTCCTGTGGCACTTTTTGCAAAAGTGTAGGTATTAACCTTGCTATCTTGCCAGATCCCTACTCAAGTCATTACACTCTGCCTTTCTACAATTCCTGCTCTGGTTTTAACATAGGTTAATGCTGTAACATCCTGTTTGTGCTTAAAGGGACTCTATTGTAGTGGTGAATAAACTAATCCCTTGTTTGCCAGATTGTTTTTTGTCCATTGTTTTGCCCTGTCCATTACTAGAAAACCAAGTGGGGCCCACCAACTCATTTTACACAGAGTCAAGCAACTTCGACAAAGTGAAGACTTTTGCTCCTACTAAAATGAGCTGGATTTAAAGAAGTGATGCACAGTGTGATGTTGCTGTAAAATCGGTGCATGTAAAACGTTACTTATAACACTGGTTTCAGTGGAGGCTTCCGATGGGGACCAGGCCTTCCCACAGGAGTCTGGCTGTAGGATTGAAGCTATCAAGGTTATTCATTAAAGCTATCAATGGTTACAAGGCTTTGCGTCTCATAACCAAATATCTGAGCTGTGCACTCCTACAGAATCGGTCAGATTTTAAATCCCAAGGATGGAAATCATAGGATGATAATTTAATTATCTGAGAAATAAGTGACAAAGTGAGTTCCTCTTATCTGTCTTTTAAGTGTGATATGTAAGTAGTGCTGAGAGTACAGTACTGTAGGGAGTAGAGCAGATGTTATGAACAATAGGAGTGATCTACTTGTACAGCGTGCACTCTTATAATGTGGGAAATAACTTCCATTAGGGTTGAATATCCCCCTTAGACATCAACCATAGTTTCATAGTTTCTAGGGTCGGAAGGGACCTGAGCAGATCATCTAGTCCGACCCCCTGCCATGGCAGGAAGAGCACTGGGGTCAAATGACCCCAGTAAGGTGGTCATCCAACCTCCTCTTAAAAACCCCCAGGGTGGGAGCCTGCACCACCTCACTTGGAAGCTGGTTCCAGACCCTAGCCGCCCTGACCGTGAAGTAGCGCCTCCTGATGTCCAACTTAAACCTTCCCTCCGCCAGCTTGTGACCATTGTTCCTGGTCACTCCTTGAGGCGCTCGGGGGAACAGGGACTCCCCCAGTGCCTGCTGATCCCCCCTAACCAGTTTATAACAGGCCACAAGATCCCCCCTCAGCCTTCTCTTGTGGTGGCTGAACAGGTTCAGGTCCCACAACCTTTCCTCATAGGACCTACCCTGTTGTCCCTTGATCATACGAGTGGCCGTCCTCTGGACCCTCTCGATGCTGTCCACATCCCTCTTGAAGTGCGGCGCCCAGAACTGGATGCAGTACTCCAGCTGCGGCCTGACCGGTGCCGCATAGAGGGGGAGGATCACCTCCTTGGACCTGCTCGAGATGCATCTGTGGATGCACGACAAGGTGCAGTTGGCCTTCCTAACCACCTCCCCACATTCCCATT